CATTTGTTTCTGTAGACTTTAGTTCAGCTTCAACCTTGCCCTTCTTTCTAAGTCGTGTAATGAACTTCAACACGTTTGCAGTGACTCGTATTGTCTTGTTTAGTGTGCTGTATCTCGTGATGTCGATTGTGTTAAGAGCGTTTGGCCGAGTTTCCGATGTTGTTTGAAAGGAATGAGTTTCTTCATCTTCTTGGTCCTTATCCTGCTTCATTATCTCGTTCGCTTTCGGCCACTCTGATCTCTGTTTTGTTAGCCATTAATGGACCATGAAACCAGATGTTCGCTTTCGACAGGAAGGTTTGACTGTTCATCCCTCTAGTAAGTAGGTCTGCAGGGTTAGATGCCGTAGGGCAGTATCTCCATTGTGTGCTGTTAGTTTTGTCATTTATTTTTCCGACGCGTGTGTGGATAAACTGCTGTCGATGTGGTTTGAAAGACCTTATCCACGCTAATACTATTTGTGAGTCGGTCCACATGTAGTGCTCTGCTATTTTCAGTTTGGGTTGCAACGTTTGCGAAAGGTATTCCCATAGTTCAGCGCCTAGAAGGGCCGCTAGCAGTTCTAGTCTTGGTAGAGTCTGTTGTTTGAGGGGGGCAACCTTGCTTTTTGACATGATGAACGTGCACTTGTTTGTTGTTTTTCCCYTAAGGTAGGCTACTGCTCCATACGCTAGTTTGCTACTATCGCAGAAGATGTGTAGCTCTGTCTCTTCTTTGTTGTTTGCGGTGCATAGCCTCGGGATTTGCAAGGARGTGAGTTCTTTCAGGTCATTTAGCCATTGCAGCCAGTTCTCTCTGTTGTCTTTAGGAAGTTGTTTATCCCATGATGTGTTCAGTTTCCATACATCTTGCATCATTATTTTTCCCTTGACTGAGAACGGTTCGACAAATCCTAGTGGGTCAAACAGTTTAGAAGACTTAATACCGATCGCTTAGTTATCGTTTGTAATCGTTCGATTTCTTGAATAAGCTTTTCTATAGGTAAGGAAAGTGTATCGTCGAACGAGTTCCACACTATACCGAGAACTTTTGTGATACGTTCTGCGTTTGCACCGTCTTTGGAGGCCTTTTCGTTGATGCTGTCATCGTTACTGCTCCACTGTCTAAGGTTCATACCGGCCTCTTTGAACAATTGTCTTGATTTTGTATAATACTCTATCGCCTCTTTTTGCGAGCTCGTTCCCGACAAAACGTCGTCCATATAAATACATTTCTTCAGATCGTTGGCTACGGGGTCGTTTTGTTTGTCCAGGTGATATTGTATAGTTGCATTCAGTAAGAACGGGGATGGTGCTGCACCGAATAGTACTACACGGAATCGATAAGTGATTTGTAGAAAAGCCTTTTCGATGTCTGCAGTGAAGGCAACATTATGCGTACGGAGATTGAGGAGCAGTCTGGGTAACTCCTGCATTAGATTGGGTCCTGTAAATAGGCAATCGTTGAGGCTCAATTCCTTTGGTGAGTTCCTAGCTGATGCATCGTAGACTATGCGTATCTTTGTGGTGGAGCTGTCCGCCTTGAATACTGGGAAGTGGGGTATGTAGTGCAG